GAGGGGGAGGGGGAGGGGGAGGGGGAGGGGGAGGGAGAGGGAGAGGGAGAGGGAGAGGGAGAGGGAGAGGAAGAGGGAGAGGGAGAGGGAGAGGGAGAGGGAGAGGGAGAGGGAGAGGGAAAAGAACACAGAGGAGGAGGAAGCAGCCAGAGAAGAAACTGTATAGCCAGGAGATATAGCAAGTAACAAGGGTCTTTAAGGCTCATGCATAAGTTAACTGTTATAGCCCTAGATCTGCCCAATCTAGGCATATTGCTTGTAAATAAAATACCTGGATTGCATGTCTTTTTATATGGGCTTATTAAGATTATAAGTTCCTGTTACATTTTGGCAGTTAAGAAGAAAGAATAGCACAGCATAATTATTATACATTAAGTTCAAACCAATCGGAATCTGTAAAATACAGATTCTAATGAAATAAATAGAAGAATCAGTTGTCAATGTGCATATTTTAGAAAAACATTGAGTACAAACATAGTACTCAAGAAGTACAAGAAGAATACTTATACATTGAGGACAATAATAAAGCTACAGAAGCAGTTAATCAAAGGATAGATTGTGACTTGAGAAAAGTTGTTTCTAATCAAGATGGGGGAAGATATGGGTAGGCATGTAGGTAGAGTGTCAAGAAGATAATGAGCTATATAGAGAGTATTTTGAAATTTTATGTATTAAAAATATTTATGTGGTGTTGGGAGTGTTCTTCTTTGGATAGTTTTAGCAAATGGCACTCAAGTACATCACACTTTCTGTCTTCTGCTCACATGAAATATTTCTTAAATATAAATCACACTTAAATATACATATTGTGAAAATTTTGAAATAAGCCCACTAAGAAGAAATAGCTACCTGTCATCATAATAGAATGATTCGGCGTTATTAAAAATTGAGTTTGTAAGTATAGGGGCAAAAAATGTGAAGATGCCTTAAATGTCAGAGACTCTGTGACTTTGCAGAATGTCTGGGTCAGCACCAGTGGGTTCCTCAGTAGACACTGAAACAGAGCAGATCATATCACAGTGATTTTACTTCATCACATTCAGAGCTGTCTTTCTATAGTCTAAATCTAATGATTGAAATTATGAGAAACTATACAATTCCCAAGGAGACACATTCCATAAGAGACTTGTAATTTGATTTCTCTTTACAGCATATATAGCTTTAACCTATGGATAAGGTAGCTTGTTGAAAGTATTTCTCAGAGTCTTATAAGATACATCCATATTTAAGCACTTACCTATGCCAACAGTTAAGTACTATCTAATTTGGCATTATGTGGTTTCATTTTATTTATTGGTTCCATTAGGATTAAATATTTATGTCATTGTTAACTCACAAATGTCACAAACATGGTTACATTAAAAATGTGTATGCATGTACTCTCAATTTCCTGTGGCAAACTAGCTTTAAAATTCAGTATCTTTTGGAGGACTTTTGTATATAAAGTATTTGAGTAATTTATTTCATAATTTGGTTCAAAATGTTGTTAAGGTTGTACTTTTTATAACAATACCTCAGTATCAGAGAATCCAGTTTCCTAATGAAGAAATATTTACTCTAAGTTTCATCAGAATGATATTTAAAGTTTCACAGGTACTTGCAGAAGGGTACAATTCCATCGTAAAGTCACTAAGTATGGGAAAGCAATACAGTTGCAAGCAGACTACATCTGAGTATTCGGAAACCTAGTCATTAGTAACGCTAATATGAGAGCAAGGAAACCACTACTCCATCCTTCACTCTGTGAACACTTTAGTCACCCCATGTGAAGCTCAAGAGGATAAGCCTCATCTAAATTTTTCACTTATAAGTAAGACAGCCTTATGTTAAGCTAGTGAGTTTTGTTACACAGCAATAGCACAGACCACAAGGTTAGAAATATTTGATCATCATTGCTAACATTTGTAGGCTTCTAAATTTTGTGATAAAGATATACACAAGGTAGTATTTATTTTGAGTTTCTATGCTTTTAAATAAATATGCAGTTTAGGGGCCGCAGAGATGCCTCAGTTGATAAAATTCTTGCTTTTTCTCAAGGATCTGAACTCATCCCCTATAACTCATATTTTAAAAATGCCAGACAGAGAGGTACACATTCATAATATCATTGCTGAGAGATGGGGATGGGCTATGGTCCTGAGGCCTATTAGCAAGCTAGTTTAGCCTACACATCAAGTTCCAGGCTGGCATGTTTCAAAAAATAAAATAAAGGAACATAGCTCCTGAAGAAGTACTCCTGAAGTCAACTGGATAGCAGATGTAAGGGTTCATATTTCCAGGAGAATCTGTACATACAATAACGTCTACATACTTGCTAATAAACACAAACCTGTGTATTCTCTATATAATTTAGGTGTTCAATGTGTGTGTTTGTGTGTGCTGTTTAATTACCCTTTCTTACGGTTTGTGTTGATTACCTAAGAATTCCCTATTTATTCTAAGTATTAACTTCTTGCATTTAGGTAACCATTACTAATCTACTCTACTCCCTATAGATTAATTCATAGGAGAAACATTTTTGCCTTTATATAATCTAACCTATACACATTTATTTTATGTTTTATATTACTTAATACTTATTTAGAATGCATTTCCTCTTCTATGTTCTATATATATTCCAATGTTAGCAATAACTATTTTATATTACCTAAAGAATTTTGTGAACTGGAAACCAATCTGTGTACATAATATGACATGGGAATTCTGATATATATTATTGCATACACTGAACAACATTCTTTCCATTGCTTTTATCTTGTAGCAAACAATTCTTATACTCTGCATATATATTCACACAGAGATCGAATTATTAGGTTGTCTATTACTGTGATTTATTTGGATCCAAATGGGAAATTTGTCATACTTTAAACTGTAACGGCCATGCAATTATCACTGCATGTTATTTATAGGTTATTGGGCTAAATATTTCATGCATTGACATAGCCATTTCATGAAGTATCATTATATATCTGCTAATTTACCCAAGTATTTATTGAGACAAATAGTTTGCACTATATTTCTTTCTTGAAATTTTTAGGTCTTCATAGTAAATGAGTTTCTACATTATTTACAATCCTATAATTATATTTTAGTCCACAGTGCAATGTTTGGTTTAGATTAAAGTTATATAATAACAGGACTCAGGGTCAATTTTCACTGTTAAGAGAGTCTATGCTTTCCTGTACAGATTAACCTAAAATCAATACTAAAAGAGTACTAGAGTAGATATCTTAGTGCAGAAAATTGTTGTGTGTAAAATCAAACTACAAAATGTAACATTTCATAGACTAATGAATGTGCTGAGAAAGAAATCATGAAAGCACTCACAAGCCCTTTCTGCCCAGTCCTTTCTGCTAGGACAGACTGTTAGCTAGTCTGCATCCCTGAAGACACCACATCTGAAGCCATCCTCAAAGTTCCACTTTACTTAGAGCATTTGGTAAGAACCCTCCCAAACTTCCACAACCCTGTGGACTTGGGGCACATCACTCCCTAACCATCCCCTCTGCTGAATACCACTCCCCTTCTGGTCATTTCTGCTGGGACAGATTGCTTGCTAGTCTGTTTCCCTGAAGACACCATATCCTGAGCCATCCCAGGAGATTTGCTGCACTCAGGGCATCTGACACTGCAGCCTGAGACATTCCAGGAGATCCACTCCACTCAGGATAACTGATGCCACAGCCTGAGGCATCCTAGGAGATCTGCTACACACAGGGTAACTGAGCAACTGCTCAGCCAGCTTGTCTGCTCCCCTAAAGACACCACAGCTTGAAGGCATCCCAGAATCTTCTCTGTACACCAGGCAACTGGGCAACAGACACAACAGTTTGAAGACTTCCCAGGGGCTCTGTGACATGCAGCGCAAGTGACCCAGCACACTGAAAACATCGTTGGAGTTCTGCTGCACACAGGGAAACAGAACCTACAGTCTGTAGGCCCTTCTGGAGAACAGCTTCACATAGGACAACAGCATGACTACTTCTCAGAAGGCTCAACAGTTTAAAGGCTTCCCAGAGATCTACTGTAGCCAAGGCAATAGATCAACAACTTCACTGCCCTTTTAAAGAGCTCCCAGTTGGATGACCCTACAAGTGGCCTGGTACAGCCAGGGCCACAGACCTACCAAGAGATCTAAAGCAATCAAAGGACAAAAGAAGCAGACACCAGACAAGAGACATCCAGACTAGCAAACAACAGGGATAACCAGATGCCAAGAAGCAAATGAAGGACTATAAGCAACAGAAGCTAATATGCATGGGCCTCATCAGAACCCAGTTCTCCCACCACAGCAAGCCTTGAATAAATGAACACACCTGAAAATCAGAAAGCTGACCTAAAATCCTATCTCATGAAGATAATAGAGTTCTTTAAGGAGGATATAAATAATTCATTGAAAGAAATAGAGTAAAAACAGGTAAACAGGTAAAAGCTCTTAGCAAGGAAACAAATTCTTTACAGAGATTCAGAGAAACACAATCAACCAGGTAAAGGAAGTGAATAAAGTGGTTCAAGGCTTAAAAGTGGAAGTAGAAACAATAAAGAAAACACAAATGGAGGCAAACTTAGAAATGGAAAAGCTAGGAAAAGGTCAGGAATTACAGATTTATCTCTAAGAAAATACGATAGAAGAGAGAATTTCAGGTGTAGAAGATTCCATAAAAGAGATTTATAAAACTGTCCAAGAAAATTCAAAACATAAAAAACTTCTAACTCAAAACACCAAGGAAATTCAGGACACAATGAAAAGACCAAATCTATGAATAATTATAATAGAGGAGAATGAAGATTCCCAGGTCAAAGTACCTGAAAACATCTTTAACAAAATCATCTTCCCCATCCTAAAGAAAGAGACGTCCATAAAGATATAAGAAGCCTATAGAAAACCAAATAAATCAGACCAGAAAAATAATCCTCTAGTCATATAATAATCAAAACACTAAAGACAGAACAAAAGAAAGAATATTAAAAGCTGCATAGGAAAAGGTCCAGGTAACATACAAATGTACACTTATCCAAATTACACCAGACTTCTCAATAGAGACACTAAAAGCCAGAAGAACCTAGTTAAAGATCAGGCAGACTCTAAAAAAACACAAATGCCAGCCCAGACTACTATACCCAGCAAAACTCTCAATCAACATTGATGGAGAAACCAAAATATTCTAGGACTAAACCAAATTAAAAAGTAACTATCTACCAATCCAGTTACAGAAGATTATGGAAGGAAAACTCCAACACATGGAAGGTACCTACACCAATGAAAAGATAAGATATTAAACATCTCACAACAAAGCCAAAAGGAGAGTACCACAAGCACATAAAGCCACCTACAAAAATAAATATAACAGGAACTGTTGGACTCTAAGAACCAAACCAAGGGGGCACACTCCTGCAGAACCACTCTCAAACAGGAGATTCGCTGCAAAAACATGAGGTTTATTGATAAGCAGTGCACTGGGGTTCCCTCGCATGCAGGCAAGAGGAACCCTGAGCCAAAGCCAATCCTACATCCAATAGAGGCCACATATCCAATATATACAAAAAGCTGAAGAAGTTTGACTCCAGAGAAGCAAATAACCCCATTAAAAATGGTATACAGAGCAAAACAAAAAATTCTCCACTGAGGAATGTAGAATTCCTGAGAAGTACCTAAAGAAATGTTCAAAGTCCTTTGTCATCTTGGAAATGCAAATCAAAATGACCCTGAGATTCCTCCTCACACCAGTCAGAATCACTAAGATCAAAAACTCAGATGATAGTAGATGCTGGCTAGGATGTGGAGAAAGAGAAGAACTCCTCTATTGCTGGTGGGAATGCAAGCTGGTACAACCACTCTGGAAAACATTCTGGTTGATCTTTAGAAAATTGGAAATAGTTCTACCTGATGACTCAGCTATACCACTCCTGGACAAATATCCAAACTATGCTCCAACATATAACAAAGATCCTTGCTGCACTACTTTTATGGCAGCCATACTTATAATAGCTAGAACTGGAAACAACCCAGACATCCCTCAACTGAGGAATGGATACAGAAAATGTGGTACATTTACACAATGGAGTACTATGCAGCTATTAAAAACAACAACTTCATTAAGATCACAGGCAAATGGACAAAACTGAAAAATATCCTGTGTAAGGTACTGCAGTAACAAAAAAAAAACATACATTGTATGTTCTCATTAATAAGTGGATATAAGCCCAAATGCTCAGAATACCTATGATATAACTCACAGACTATATGAAGTTCAAGAAGAAAGAAGACAAAAGTGTGGATGCTTTAATTTTACTCAGAAGGGGGAACAAAATAATTAGGGGAAGTAGTGAGAGGGAGGGAGGGATCTGTGAGGATGAGAGGAGGGGGAGGAGAAAATGTTGGCAGGTTCATGTGTCTTGTAAAACAGTAGATGTAAAGAGAGTCAAGAAATTGAACAGAAATATGTAGCAGTAGGGGATGGAGGACTGGGGTTAGCCATTAGAAAGTCCCAGATGTGAGGGAAGCAAGAGGTTCCCAGAAACCAATGGGGATGACATTACGAAAAACCCAAAACAGGGGAGATAGAACTTTTAGAGACCATATCCAATGGATTGGCCCAGCCCCAGGTTGAAGTATGGGGCCATTCACCTTTAACAATAATTTATTTACATATATACAAAAAATTCAAAATCAGGAACAAATCTGACATATGATCCAGATTCTTTATATATTTATATTTGTTATAGTTTTAAGGCTATCAGTTACTTTGGCTCAGGCAGCACATGTTCATACAATCATTCACTCAGTGACTAGGACAGAAAGAGAGAGTAATTAGTGGATTTGACTTCTACAATCCCATGCTGGATGCATGTTTAATCAGCCAAGGACTTCTGGTAGGATATGCCTTTTAGAATTCTGAAAGTATCCTCATATTTTCTTGTAAATAAGCCCTTCTAACCATACTGGAATTTAGGACAAACTAAAGAAATGTCACATTATAATAATACCAAAGAAAAAATGATCTGTATACCTATAAATATACATACCCTAATTATTAGTGTACTAATTAAAAATGTCATGATATACAATTAACCAAGGTACCTATTTATCAATAGATACAAATAAATTATCATAAGTATACATACATGTATATATGTATGTGTATGTGCATGTGAACTTATATGTGTGTGTATATATCTATACACACATAAAAGTATACATATATGCTATAGAGTATTATTACCTATTATGAAGAATGAAGCTCATTGTTTATATATGCTTATATGTATGTGATCAGAATGCATTAATTTTGGTAAGTTAAAGAGAAAGGCAAATATATAATTATCTCTGCAGCATCTAGGAGCTAAGAAAACATTATGTGCATGTACATCACTGGTTATAATAAAGTTGGAGAAGTAAAATTGGGGTAGGGTAAAAGGTACAGAATATCATGCAGTGAGTAAGCTTTTGTGATCTGTGTAATGGAATGACCATGGTCCTCAATGATCTGTTGTGTAATTAAAAGGAGTATCTTAAAGACTACAAAAACATGTAAGTTATAAGGTGCACAAATTATCATAATACTGTCAGTTTCTGCTATCTTCAGTGAGTAAGATATCACAATGAACCATAATAATTTAGATGGTTAATTCACTTTATTCAAATAATTAAAATAATGCAAAATTTAAATACAAGATTCTTACTCTTTAGAAAATGTTGTTAAGAATTTCAGATTTATATTTAACAATACCAACCAGTTATGGTTGCTTAGACTCTTCATTGCTAATTAATAAGTATATGTAATATTTGTATAGAATGAGTACTAAATAGGCCAACTGTTGTGCTGCATACCTGAAACTGTAGAACGCCTAAGGCTGAAGAAGTGTTAAATGTTCACAAGTAACTGAGCAATATAATCCAATATTTATAATGGAGTTAGATTCTTTATAAAATGTAATCACTTATTACAATTAACTCATGATTTTATTTAAAAAATATGTAGAAATTAAGACTAGATGAAAATGTTACGTGGAATATTCACTTTGCTCTAAAAGGATTTAAATATTAGCAAAAACTATGGCACAAGGGTGATCAATGCTCTGTCCCTAGCTCCTGTTCACATCAATTCATTTCACACAGAATATGCTGGCTAAGTTCTTCAAAGCAACAAAAAAGAATATATCAGAATTCACATGGTAGTAAAAAAGGCAAAGAAGAGCCACAACCAACCTGGCAAATAAGAACACTGCTAGAGGTATCACTGTACATGATTTCAAGATATACTACATAAACTTAATATAAAAAAGAATGCTACAGGCACAAAAATAGACATGGTAATCAATGTAGTAGAAGACCAGATATAACTCCATGGAGCTAGAACCACTGTGGTTTCAACAAATGAGTCCAAAAATACAGACTGGAGAAGGTAGTATCTTCAGCAAATGTTGCGGGGAAAACTGGGCATCTGTAGTATAAGAATAAAGTTTGATCCTTGTCTCTTACCCTGCAAAAAAATCAGTTATGAATGGATCAGTGATCTACCCAAGTATTATGCCTGAATCTCTGAAACTACTACAGAATAAAATAAGAAGTTCATTTAAAATATGAAAATGAATTTCTAAATATCTCAGTGGCTTGAGAAATAATTTAAATCACTGGAGATGTGGACTCTCACAAGATCAAAATGCTTCTTTTCTGCAAAGGAAACTGTTAATAGAATGAACTGATATCATACCAAGTGGAAAATTTTTTCTCAAATATATATGGCAAATGAGCTAATATACAAAGAACAAAATAAACCTAAAGAAGGAAAACAACCCACTTAGCAAATAGTCTACGGAACTGTGCTGAGAACTCTATAAAACAAAAGTAGCCCTAATCCCCTTCCATCCTCATCTCAAACTCTGTAGCAAGAGGAGGTGACTTTTTTTCACTGTCTTTCCCATTTCTTAGATGCCATGTTTTTCAACACAAGAACGGATAAAATGACATCATGACATTTTAAGCAAATGGGTCGAACTAGAAAATCATCATTCTTAGTAAGGTAACCATGACCCAGAAAGATAAATACGTTATGTATTTACTTATATGTAGAGATTCATTTTAAGTAAATGATAAAACAAATACAGTCATTATATCCTGAGATGCTATGTATCAAGGAAGGGACTAGAGGCAACAGAAATAGGTTAATTAATACTTTGAATAGAGTAGGGTCAAGGTTATTCATCTTTCTCTCTCTCAGTGTTCCTATTTGACTGTAGTTCTTTGTCTGCAATTTGAGAAAGGGGTTTGGTATACATGGAAATGGAAAAAGGGAAGAGCCATAGTATATTTTAATGATAAAATAAAATATTTTCTAAATATAAATAAAATGAGATGCTCTGAGTATAAAAATGAATTAATAAGTATCTCTAGGAAAAAGAAAATACAAAAAATGGGAAGATATGAAATGTGAGAAGTCAAATTCTAATGTGCGTTAGGAAAATTCAATGGATTCAAGACTCTTGGAAGTGTTATTCACAGTAATATTCACTAAGTATGAATGAAAATGAGATTGGAAATTACAAACATACAGTCTATATGACAAAAAGAATGTTTTCATTAGAAAGAAAAATATTCAGAACAGAGCTAAAACATTGGAAGGGATTCCAGATGCATACCTATCTCTGACATTACTATGATAGACCTATTTATCATATACAGAAACAAAAGACTTTGGTTTAAATATCGTGATATTATTTGTGAGGGTGGGAGGCTATGAGTTCACACACAGTTCTTCCAATTCATGAAAATTAATGCCATTTCTTCAGAGAGAATAAACACAAAGTTGTATCAAATCAATTAAAGATAAATCAAAATTATTAGCTGGTGAATAATTGTCCTCTAACACTACACCACCTGTCTTTAGTGATATAAAATAAGGGAGCTATTTTTTTCCATTAAAAGGAAAATGTGTAATTTAGTAATTATCTAAGAGTCTCCAAACCTTTCATGCAAATTTAAGTTAAACACCTTGTCATATTCGTAACTCTATAAGAAAATTGCACAGGTCAATTTAACTGGCTTGTTAACAGAAATATTTTACTTTACCCAAATAGCATGAAGAATACCCTTCAAATTATGCTTAATTTCCTTATTTTGAAGTCTCCTGTCACTGGTGGGAGGTTCCTTGCTTTTCTGAAGTCTTAATTTTTGTGCACCTATAGGTCACAAGAAAAATAATCTTTTCTTATCACAAAGTCAGTATATATGAAAATATACATCGTGCATTTATTTGTACACATTATAATTACTGTGTTTGTCAAGGAATGGCAAGCGAGTTATATTAAACATACTAAAACTATTGTGTTTTTTCCAATGTAAATTTTAAACAACAGTAGTGCTTTGTAAAATGCAATTCTTTGATCATGGAAATTTTCACTATGTATTCTCTTAACTGCCGAAAGTGTGGTATCTATGGTTGAATCAATTTATAATTTAATGGAGAATTCAATAGCCATATTTAATAATTAACATATGATGAAACAGCTCAAAACTAGCCTCTCCAAAACAGCCTTCTATGTAACACAAAGTATTTTATAGAACCAAGTTTGAAGTTTGTGCATGAATACATAGTAATAATGTAAAAGTATTAATAAATATAACATTTCAATTCTTATATACATATCATCAGACTTTCTCACTTGACATGATCTTACTCACTGCCCTCTCCTACCTCTTTATCTTTTCTTCTCATGCAGCCCCTTTTGTGCCTTTATATCCTACATGTACCTGCTATCACAGCCTCTTTCCTGCAAGTGTTATGACTATTCTGTGCATCTGAGTGAAGTGCCCTGGGTAATACATTTTCCTCACTCAGTGATTTGTTGTTGTATTTCTAGTCAGGCTTTAAACCCTGGTTTTTGTGAAAAGTGCAGTAAAAGTATTGAAGGTTTCATTTTTGTTGGATGATGTCTCATTGGCATTTCTGTAATGACAGCTACTCTGGGTGGTGGGAGATCCCAGTTGTTAAACACTGGCCTTAAATACTTTACATTAACATATAAAGTAGTTGGCTTCATAACTATTTTTTCACGTGTATATGTCATCACACTCTGTTCTTTTTTGTTTTCTTTCCCTATATTTCTCCCACATGTAGTGACCACCCACTCTGTTGATTCCTCTCCCTGTGAGTCTCACATTATGCACATGTATTATCTGTATTTCATTGCTATCCAATTTCCCTTATACTCCATTCTGACTCTCAATTCATCACTTCTCTAGTTGTCACACCCACAATACACCTGCACACATGCACACACCAAAACACACATACTCTCATAAGCATTTGTAGATACATGCATTTTTTAATATTTATTTTCCGTTTGTGGAAGAAAATAACATTTGGTATTGGACTTTCTGAGTTTCAGTGGTTTGACTTAACATGAGAATTCCTGACCCTCTCACAATGTATTATATCTTTACATCTGAATAAAATTCCAGTGTGCCTAATAAGATAAAGCTTTTCTCTCAAAATACAATTAGAGCATAAAAGTTTTATCTTATCAGGAAGGGTGATATGTAGGAGGAGCTAAAGTAGGAGGAGTAAGGAAAGGAAGAGGAGGAGCTTGGAGATAGAGATAGAGGGGGGAGGGAGAGAGAGAGAAGGGGGGAGGGAGAAGGGGGGGGAATATGGAGGCATATGTTCGCATGTTTCCTCCAGTCAAAGATAGTTGGTCTACCTAGGTTGGGTATTGGGTTACACTTCTGATTGTATGGACATCTTGTTATTGAGCAATACCAAACTTATAAAGCCTTTGATCAACTTTTTTTAAAAAAAGTTACTAATAAAAAAAAAAACAGGAGGAAGGGGTGGGATAGGGGGTTCCTGGATGGGGGGATGTGGAAATGGCATCACATCTGAAATGTAAATAAAATATCCAATAAAAAATAGATTCATAGACTGAGCAACTACTGAACATTTGTTCATAGACTGAGACTGTTGGATTAGCTACAACCGAGCTTGTAAGTAATTCTAATGAAATATATAATATGTATGATCATATATATATGAATAATATAATCATTATATATATATGGAGAGAGAGAGAGAGAGAGAAAGAGACAGAGAAAAGAGAGAGATTCATTCAATAAATTCTGTTACAATTAGAATGTAACTAACAATGGCTAAATAAATTTTAGCATACTTTCATATATAAAAGCGTCTATGCACTTTAACTAAAATGGGATAATACCAAGAAACAATGCATAACACAAATATATACACATAAAAATATAGCTCATAAATATAATATTTGGATGTGATCCTGCTTGGATTGATAAAAACAACAGCAAAACAATGATAATATTCCTTTGTCACAGAGCAATATCAGGAGGAAAGCAAATTCACTTTGAAATTAGTTTATCTGTTCTTTGAGAATGATAGCAAAGGGTAAAATATACTGTGACTAATTATATTTTCTTTAATACTCACCAGGTAAACTAGATGGAAAACAGAACAGCAGTAAAGATGTAGAAAATGAGGCTGAACCAACAAAAATAAAAGATTTCCACCAATTTCTCTGCAATATTCGAAGCCTCTGAACATGATCACTTGTACAGAGAAAGATAGAAAATTACAGTTAGGAGCTTTTATAAAATAGAAATCATAATGTGTTGGTAGAATTATCTGCTAATTTGCATTCATTTGTAATTTATCACTAATAATTTGGGGGCTTTGCTGATATGAGCCAGTTGTCAGCATTCAGTATTGCTGTTTGGTCTTTCCTCCCATCAGAGCCTCACTTCCCCACTTTGATTTTCAGTGACAAGACTCAGACAGCAGATAGTCCTGCTTGTTCCTATTTAAAGATTTTCTCCCTTTAATCTGTGCCTCTGGAAAACCAAGACTTGTTTCTTTTTCTGGCTCCTGTAATCTTACACCTGGACCTTTGTTATAAGAAACCTTGCTCTTTAGGTTGCACTACTTTCCATGTTTAACACATATGACCTTTGAAGTCACATGACATCTTGCAAGCCCTTCCTTCAGACCCCTTCTGCTAAGTGTACTTGCAACTTCCATGGTCTTTCCAGTTTTCCTATAGGATTCAATTGCATTCTTTCTTATGATTTCTTTTGCTTTTCACAAAGCTTAGTAGGTGGCAAGGTAGGAGGAGATATGAAAGACCCTGTACTGGGGTTTGCTACCTTTCTGACTCACAGAGTGTCTATGAGCTATCAGTGTCTCTTCTCTTTAATCAATGCTGAGCTGAACAGAATAATTTTAAAACTAACCAAGAGTTGTTTGTTTGTATGTATGTTTGTTTTAATCATTTATTGATAAGATTTCAGAAGTCAGTGAATATCTTATTACTAAAATTTTCAGATCCACACTCATGGAAAATCTTAGCTGGGAAATAGAGAGATGCCCCACCAGAGGTTATGATTATGCCCCACTGGATGTGCTTGCAGGGAACAGGGTTTGTTTCCAGTAACCACATAGTGGCTAGCAGTCATCTGTAGGTTTCAAAGGATTCAATGCTCCACCCCTTCACACACATCATGCAGACATATATATATATGCTGCAAATCTACTCCCACACATAAAATACAAATTAATACATCCTTATTATGAACTAAAACCTTCACTAAACAGTCATTGTAGGAAAGATGCTCGCCTCTACGTCAACTTGTTCTGGAGGAGCTCTTTTTCCTACAATGAATGAAGACTTTATTAGACTTCCTTTCATAAAATGGGGAAATGTTCACAGTGCTATTCACCGGTGAGACAATGCTCTTCATTTAGGGGTGTTATTCAGGAATGAAGGTATCCACCCACAATCACATGTAGTCCCAATCTTATTTCCAATATCTGATTGTCGTATGTTAATATGTAGCATTCATGGTAGCTACACATTACATTCTTATTATTGTTTGATTATTTATTTTTTTGATTTTGATTAAATCCAGTGCCTTCTGAATGATAAGCAAGAGCTCTTTAATTAAGAACCCACTACCCTATTTTGAAAGAATTCAAGATCAGTCTATGCTGAACAGTCACAACTTAATCTCCCAAACTCTGGAGAATACATAGATGACCACTATTATTGGCTCCCTGTTGCTTGTAATATCCAAAAGTTTTCAGTTTCTTAGTACTGTGAATCCATTTATATGATTTTAATATCATATCACATGTGGCACCTATTACATGTGTTTGTACACCAGATTAGGTGAGACTGCTGGTCTTCATATAGGGCCACCCTCTTCTCAGCTACTTCCAGCTTTTCCCTAATTAACCACAGGAGTCACCAGCTTCTGTCCATTGGTTTGGTGTAAATATCTCAATTTAGGCCTGTCACTGGACATCCTTTTCCTCAAGCTCTTCTCTATTTTTGTTCCTGCCATTCTTTCAGAATTTATGACTGTGGGACTACAACCCCATCCATGCACTTGATGCCCTGTTGTTTTACTATAGGTGGACTCTACAAGTTCACTCTCCCCAGTGTAAAGCATTTTATTTAAGTTTCCTCCCTTTGAATATTGAGAGTCTCCTCACTGCACGGGTCTCTGGTATATTCTAGAGGGTCTTTCCAACCTCCTACCTCCCGAGGTTGTCTGTTTCAATTCTTTCTGCTGGCCCTCAGGGTTTCAGTCCTGTTCCCTCTGCCTGATCATGTTCACCTCTTCCCCTCCCTATTGCCTTTCCCAGCTAGGTAACTACATTCCTCTCTACCTTCCTTTGATTGTGTTCTTCTCTCTCCTAAGTGGGATTAACTTGTCCTCACTTGGGCCCATTTTCTTGTTAGCATTCTTAAGTTCTGTGCATTGTATTCTTGGAATCCTGTACTTTTTTTTGGCTGATATAAACTTATTAGTAAGTATACATCATGTATATTCTTTTGAGTCTGCGTTACCTCACTCAGGATGATATTTTCTATTTCTACAAATTTGCATGGAAAAATCATGATATTTTCCTTCTTAATTATGGAGAAGTATTCCATTGTGCAAATGAGCCAATTTTCTGTATCCATTCTTCTGTTGTGGGATATCAGGGATGTTTCTAGCTTCTGGCTATGGCAATAAGGCCATTAAGAACATAGTGGAACACATGCTTCTGTGGCATGGTGGGTCAACTTTTGGATATATGCCCAGGAGTGGTAGAGCTGAGACTTTAGTTAGATCTATTTCCAAATTTGTGAGGAACCTCCAGATTGATTTCCAGGGTGATTCTATCAGTTTGCAATCACACCAGCAATGGAGGAGTTTTCCTCTTTCTCCACATCCTCACCAACATGTACTGTTCACCTGAGGTTTTGATCTTAGCCATTCTGATTGGTGTAAGGAACCTCAGGGTCATTTTGATTTGCATTTCCCAGAAGACTGAAGACTTTGAACATTACTTCAAAGTGCTTCTTAGCCATTTGAGATTCTTCCGTTGAGAAATTTTTGTTTAGCTGTATACTTCATTCTTTGTTTGGGTTGTTTGATTTCTTGGTGATTATCTTCCTGAGTTCTTTATATGTTTTAGATATAAGCCCTCTATTGTATGTGGGGTTAGAGAAGACTTTTCCCCAATCTTTAGGTTGTCAATTTGTCCTATTGGCTATGTTCTTTGACTTACAGAAGTTTTCTAGTTTCATGAGGTCTCATTTATCAATTTTTTGTCTTATAGCCTGATCCAGAGGATTTCTGTTAGCAAATTTGCCCCTGTCAATGAGTTCAAAGCTCTTTCCCAGATTCTCTTCGATTAGATTCAGTGTACATAGTTTTATGTTGAGTTTCTTGATCTACTTTGACTTGAGTTTTGTGCAAGGTGACAAATATGGGTCTATTTTCATTTTTCTACTTTCTGACTGCCATGTAGACATGTGAAATTTATTAAAAATGCTTTCTTTTGTCTTTCGGGTCTGTGTTGGTGCCTGGAGCAGACCGTGGGCCACAGCTCTGCACCCAATCCCACAACACTCAGAGAAGGTTGGACTCCCAGGAGCTCTAACAAGATCATAAGTGAGAAGGCTGTGACACATGCCCCAAACAGGGAGTAACTGGGTCCCCCTGGGACCCAGAAACTGCGACCCAGACAGTGGCATGGGTTCAATCCAGTCTGCTCCAGTGTCTTGACCAGATCTTGCCAGCTCTGCACCCAGTCTCACAACACACAGAGGAAGCTAGAATCCAAGGAACTGTAACCAACCCAGGAATATAGGATCATAGGAGCACAGGATCTCAGGTGCTTGGTCACACCAGGATTTCAGGATCCCAGAGACAGCCTGAGTTTCAGGATCTCTTATACCCAGAATCTCAGGATCAGAGATTCACAGAGACAGCTAGACTATGAGGAGTTCTGACACAACAAAGATCACAGGAGAAACAGGCTCCAGTTAGTGACAGTAAATACAAGTAGCATTAGAGATAACTAATGGCAAAAGGCAAGCTCAAGAACATAAGCAACAGAAACAAAGGTTACTTGGCATCATCACAACCCAGTTCTCCCATCACAGCAAGTGCTGGGTATCCTATAACACTGGAAAAGCAAGATTCTGATTTAAAACCACTTTTCATGATGATGATAGAGGACTTTAAGAGGGACATAAATAACTCCCTTAAAACAATACAGGAGAACACAGGTAAACAGATAGAACACCTTAAAGAGGAAACATAAAAATCCCTTAAAGAATTACAAGAAAACACAACCAAACAGGTGAAGGAATTGAAGAAAACTATCTAGGATCTAAAAATGGAAGTAGAAACAATAAAGAATTCTCAATGGGAGACTACTCTGGAGAAAGAAAACTTAACAAAGAGATGAGGAATCGTAGATGCAAGCATCACCAATAGAATACAAGAGATAGGAGAGAGAATCTCAGATGCAGAGAATGTCATAGAAAACATTAATACAACTGTCAAAGAAATGTAAAGTGCAAACAGCTCCTAACCCAAAACATCTAGGAAATCCAGGACACAATGAGAAGATCAAACCTAAGGATAAGAGGTATAGAAGAGAGTGAAGATTCCAAACATAAAGGGCCAGTAAATATATTAAACAAAATTATAGAAGAAAACTTCCCTAAAGAAGAAATGTCCATAAACGTACAAGAACCCTACAGAACTCCTAATAGACTGTACCTCCTATCACATAAAAATCAAAACACCAAATGCACAAAACAAAGAAAGAATATTAAAGCAGTAAGGGAAAAGATCCAGTAACTTATAAAGGCAGACCTATCAGAATTACATCAGACTTCTCACCAGAGACTATAAAAATCATAATATCCTTGACAAGTGTCATACAGATCTTAAGAGAACACAAATGCCAGCACGGGCTCATATACCCAGCAAAACTCCCAATTACCATAGAGGAATAAACTAAGATATTCGATGACATAACTAAATTTGCACAATCTTTCCACAAATTGAGCCCATCAAAGGATAATACAGGGGAAAACTCCAACACAAAGAGGAACACTACACCTTAGAAAAACCAAGAAAGTAATTTTCTTCCAACAAACCCAAAAGAAGATAGCCACAAAACAACAAAACAAAAAAACAACAAAAATAACAAGAAGTAACAATTACTTTTCTTTAATATCTCTTAATATCAGTGGCCTCAATTC